CAAGAATAGATCGCATGACCGAACGCTCCTTGACCGACCTTCACGGTCGAAACAACATTGGGATGGGCGACAATCGTCGTTGCTCGTGTTCTGCTCGGGTTGCATCGTTGCATGGCGGTGTAGCGAAAAGGGGTTCGCGACGAAGCAGTCCTCGGTACTGACGGCGATTTGTGCATCAAGCTGAACACAAGAGTCCACGCGTCTTCGGAAAATACCTTTCCAATGTACTCAAAGTAATGAGACCGTATCACAGTGTCCGCTCAAAAATCGATTCGAGGTTGGCGAGAGCTGCACATCAGACTCACAAGCGTACCTAATACTGAGATGGCACATGGCACAAAGGTGAGCATCGTTCTCAAACAAGAGCACAGGTCGTACCCCACAAATCCGGAGTGATGAGGCAATTACTGACCTTCGTGTTCATTTAGCAAGATGCGCATCTAGACTATTGCCACATCACTTTCCGCGTCAAAGACGTCAACCCATCTGCCCGCGGATTCCGAAACGAACCAGCCCAAATGATACGATATCGAGCGCGTCCCACACCACCCTTTTACGTCCGCGACTTTTGTGCTCGACGAATCTCCTTCTTACGTCCCTATATTATGTCTTCACGGCCTCGCTGTACGCGGCAAACGGCTGTTCGTTTCGCTCTTCCCGACAGTAACGAAAGTAACATCGAAGCAGACGGCTCGCTTCAATACGGCTCGAACTTCCTCGCGATGTTGCTGTGTACGCTCCTTCTATTTCACTGTGTTTCTCGTGAATTGACTATAAGCCTTGTGTTCCGACATGGTAATGCATCACTACCCGGAATGGTGGTTAATGTTAGCCTCTCGATGGCTCCGACATACCTAGGTATTGAATGTCGTGTGATGTACATGATTCCGCGTACTAAGCTCTATCCTTCCAATGTCCCTTCTCATATTGCCGTTTTCTTCGTGTAAGGCTTGTCAGTGTAGTTTGACTGCGCTGGGGTTGTAGGTATAATGCTGGCATCTCCAAAGAAGGTGTGCACAAGTCCACTCTTTTGGTATATTCAGAACTACTTAGGTAGCCTCCTGCAACCTGTGAAAAGACAACGGTGTTCTGTCGCTGTGGTGATTTAGTTTTCTGGGTATCTTTCGGCTACCATGGCGTAAGTGATGGCGTTATGTTTTTTTGAGTTTCTATCATGCGCGGTTTTAGTGCTGCAATAACCCACAACCCGAACACAATATTGGAACATTCAAAGACCCGACGGCCACACGGACCCAAAGTCCCCAATAACTACAGCTTAGTATGAATGAGAGCTATGTCCTTTAATATGAGAGATGAATTTGTAGGAGCACAAGAACCGGCCCTAGTCGTAGAAGTTATTGTAGGTAATTTCTCTACTAGCAGGATCATGCAGCGTGCCCAGGTAAGACATCCGCGCATTGTAGGATACTCGGAAGACCAGATATATAGATATGAGCCTATACTAAACATCAGTTCACGTCTGCCCTAGGACATGTCCCACGAGTGGCCAATGTCGGCTTTCCGTATGTTGGCTGCTGGCAATCAGTGTTGGACTGTCCCACACTGTCCAGCCAAGAGCCGCGAAACAACGCCGCGTTCGCATGCCAGCCACAACGCGTTGTATATAGGTTGGATGGATCTGCTACCCAGAGAAACGGCCTTTGGGTATGTGCTTTACGTTCTCAAGGCACTCAATTAGGCTGTAACAAGAGAGGTTGTGCGGAAGAGGATTGTAGCGATAGAATTGTACGCGTGATCACCCCGCCTGACACACTGCAACACGTCATCAATTCAACACCATGCTGACCGACACGCTCGAGGGAATGCTCTGAAAATCTATGTACGCGTTGCGCAATACCCAAAGACAAGGAGGATGTCTTTGCTTTGCCAATTTGTACGCGTGGAGGCGGGTCGTGTTCGAGGTGTCGGCGCGCAGAGCGAAACACCATGGAAGGTAGATGACGCGACGCATGTATCGCCAAAACCACAACCATCAAGACTAGACTCGAGTCCCGAGAGCCTATCAAGCCAACATAAATCATGGAGTATTCCATCGAGTACAAGACTGGCATAGAGAAAAAGCAAACAGTAAGCATGTAGCAACGCGTCTCGTCAATAGGCTTCGAGGATTCGAGCGGAAGCTTGCGCAAAATCGATTCCTTCAAGACGCAAGCTGCAGCTATCGTGGATTGACAGAGATGACTCAGACGAAACAACAAGCAGGGACTATTGGCACGACTGAAGCTCGAGGCCAAAGGTGCCTGCGGTAAGGCTCCTGGCATGCGTTGGCCATGGTTAAGCGTCACCAAGTTGAAAAGAGCGACTCGAAGGAGAGGAGATGGGGTGAAGGGCTGCGCTTCCAGCAGGGAGACAGGAAAGACCCCCAACAAATCGAACGGACAGCAGCCGCACGGCGCCCAGTCAGCGTAGGCGGCAGTATTGCAACATGAGATCAAACTGAAGCGCATCTTGATCAGGCCTGGAAGATTAGCGCCTTCGAGTTGGTGATCTGGGGGCGCCGATTCTGATCCCTGAAAAGTATAAGAACGGCGCATACCCCACCCGCCGCGTGCTTGCCCCAACTCAGCGACTTCCAGACTTCCCACCACCACCATTCTTCCATCGATTTTCACGTTCGCCCTCTCGTTCGAAGCATCAGTAACGCGTCTATCTTCCCATCCAAATCACTAGCAACAATGCCTCCCAAGAAGAACACCACCCCTTCCAAGGCCAAGGCCGCCGCTGCCGCACCTGCCCATGGCTCCTACATCGGTATGTACTATGATATCTCAGCCCAACGCGGTCGCGTCGGTTGCCCGATAGTCGCGTCTTTGTCGCCGGTCAATGCTGACTCTTTTAGACATGGTCAAGGATGCTATCATCAACGTGAGTCTATCCCAGGCGTGTTGCCCTGCACATGAGTTTGCGACAGCTTGCGACAGCTCGCAACGCCAACTTCAGCGCGAATCACAATAACGCTCCATGACATTACTCCCCCAAGTGAACATGATTACTGACGAGCTCTATGCATGCTACAGCTCAAGGAACGAAATGGATCAAGGTTAGTAAAATTAATACCCACATGTCGTCGCTCATATGTTGCGGCATGCTTTCGTCTGAAAGCGCGCGTACCTCAGAACTCACGCTGACTCTGCGCCAACAGCCGTCAAGCTATCCAGAAGTACATCCAAGCCAACAACAAGGTCGGCAACCTTAGCGATGCTGCCTTCAGGAGTCACGTCAACCGTGCTATTACTTCCGGCGAGGAGAAGGGTGACTTTGCGCGTCCCAAGGGTAAGTGCCTCTCCACCAAGTCTGCGCGACGACACATCTTCAACACGTCGCTACTGTGTATCCTACACGCACGTATCATGAGTCATCTGAACCTTACTGACGCGTCATGTAGGCACGTCTGGACCAGTAAAGCTTGCGAAGAAGGAGGCCAAGCCTGCCGCTGCCACCGCTACCAAGAAGTCTGAGCCCAAGGCCGAGAAGAAGGTCACTGAGAAGAAGACCGTCGAGAAGAAGACTACTGAGAAGAAGGCCCCCGCCACCAAGAAGGCCACGACCACTGTAAGTATCTGCCTGCTGTCATGAGCCTACGTGTCTGACTTCCTCTACAGAAGGCCAAGGCCACCACCACCAAGGCTGCTGCTCCCAAGAAGGCTGTCGGCCGCCCGAAGAAGGCCACTGCCACAGCTGCTGCTACCAAGGCTGCCCCTGCCGCTAAGCCCAAGGCCAACGCCAGCAAACCCCGCAAGACTGCCCCCACTGCAGCCCCCGCTGTCGAGGAGGAGGTATCGCGCGTGCTCGGAAAGACCAAGTCTGGTCGCGTCACCAAGACCAAGGCTCCCGCCGCCGCAACCAAGGCAACAAAGAAGGCACCAGCAGCAAAGAAGACCGCCGCAGCGAAGAAGGCCACCACACCCAAGAAGAAGGCGACGCCCAAGAAGGCAACACCAAAGGCCAAGGCATGAGCTGTTCCAGTTTAAGCTTGTTTGTTCTTGTTGACCTTTTTTATTTTACCATGCTACCGTCCGTTAGCTTCGGGGCGTACGCTAGACGACATCTTCTTCACGTATTCCCTTTGTCACACTACTAGTCTATGGGTTTTACAGGTGGGCGTGGTTCGGCCACCGGCGGATATGGCAAGGCAGGCCTACGGTGTTCGTCCCTGATTTTCTTACCTGGGATATATCATGTTGGCCGGGCGTTCTGGCGCGTGTCTGTCACTGCGGATGGATGTCTACTCTACTGTCATTGTTCTCTTCAGCGTCGCAATCTGGCGTTATGGGAGGCTAGCTACGACGTGATGCTATCGTCTCAAGCAATTCAAATCAACACATACTTCAAACGTTACGCGTCTCTGAACTCGGTGAATGTGACGCGTTGTTTTGATCTGACGCGTAAATGCTGCGAGTCATGTGAGGGGCATGTGGGTCTTTGATAAGATAACCGGCTCTGCCCGATCTTCTCATTTCTTCCGGGTGCCGGCTACCGGGCGAATTCTACAGGAACGCCGACCTGCGACTTCCTGCGCCGCTCCAAAAAAGCTCCGGTCGTGTCTCAGGTCTCCCGAATGTGCCGGTGATATTATTATGAGCATCTCAAAAAAGAAGACGAGCTACTTCGCACACCTTCGCGACATGGGTGAACACCTGTTGTCTTGTACATGCGAAGTGCACCTTGCAAACTTCTAGCGACCCTGGTGGGAGCTGACGATAATAGTCTCAGAGATCGGTGTAGTATTACAAAGTATGTACACTTTAAAGCGTGTACCGTGTCGCTGAAGCCGCAGCATTTCATAGCTTTGTAGACACGCAGTCGATGCTGCGTCCGCGGGAATGGGTTGATCGTCGTCATCTGTCGCACCTTCCTGCTCACTCTCAACTTTACTTTAGCGTCGCTCACAGGCTACGATCACGACTGGATCCTTCCGCCTGAACTTCGACGTCTTACTTTCAAGCTAAACATCACCAGCTGGAGTGGTGCACATCGCCATGGCGAACCCGAAGACTACTCAAGGTAGCAAGTCAAGCACCATGAGGTAAGATGACAACACCAGAGCATTTTGCAAGCAATTGCGAGACTGACATCATACTCGTAGCTTCAAGTCTACCTCAGCAGTCACTATACGCGTAGGGAAGGATCCGAACACAGGACTTCATCGCGCACGAAAGCTCCCTCACTTCCCGTTCAGAGTTCTTCCGCCGCGCCATGAATGGCAACTGGCAGGAGGCAGATACAAGAGTCATCAATTTCCCCGACGATGAACCGGACACTTTCGCCCTCTACATCAGCTACGTCTACATTGGTGGATTATCTGTCATCAGCAAGACCGCACAAGAGTTGAGGATGCTTGACAAGGTCGAATTCAGAGTGTACATCCATGAGAAACACTATACTATCTTCAGTGTCTATATCCTGGCGGAAAAACTCCAAGATATCGCGACAAATAATGCGATGATATCAGAATCACTGGCTGTCACCCACTTAAAAGGGTCTAATGATCAATGGCATGTTCCAGGCCCGAACACAATCAACGCGATCTATGAAGGCACACCTTCGAACAGTCCAGCCAGACGTTTCGTCACTGACCTGTGGACTGCGGTTTCAATCACAAGCATCTTCGATCAATTCCAACTTCTCCACAAGGACTTCACAAAAGATCTAGGCGAATCGATTGCTAAGGCCCGCGCTGCGCACCTGGGGAACATACCAAAGAAGAAGGGCATTGATACGTATTACGAAAATATCGAGCAAGACTAGAACGTTGTACCTAAGTACTGTCGCTGTCAATCACTGGGTGCTCCTAAGTTCTGTCGATCTGTGAGACGCGTACGCTACGGGAGAAGGTATGAGCATCCAAATCCGCCGCTCGTATAGGAAGAGCAGATTTGGAATATAATAGATGCTGGAAAGGCTAGGATTAGTGCAATGCAACCTGCTGAACTCTGACCCTACTCAGTATATATACTATAATCAGCCAAAGTCTGAAACTTCCTCTTATGCGTCGAGCATGACAGCCCAAATTATGCTACAGTCCCAGCTCATTCGAGTAGTACCACATCGAGCCCTGATCGAGCGCGCGACTGTGCCAGGAACGCCAGCTTTGCCGAGATCACGAACGTGCCTCTCACCGCGATAAATGTAACATTCTCGTCGTACCGCTCAATGTGAAAGCTTGGCACGCCTGGTACTAGATCATCGGTAAGCGGAAATCTGTGCCTTCGAGTGAGTGAAGCGCTCCAATGACCCAGTTGAACATCAGGACCGTAATGGCGCTAAGCCCATGGATTTCTAAGGTGAAGAGCAGATAACTAGATCGTGTTCGAATAAGTTGAATCATTATACCGCAGCAGTGTCTACCATAGACCTTGGCAATGATGCCGGGATGCGGATGGCGCTTGTTCCGTGAAGTCTCGAAGTACTACATACAATGACTACAGCGCGGTTTACGCGACATTTCCACTGGCGCATTGGGCCTGACGAGGTTGATTGCCCTCAGAGGCCATCAAAAAAAATTCCATGACTCTCGATATACTGCTGCCGTTACAATTCAAAAGATTATTACCGCGAATAGTGAGTTTTCTATGCTTGTTGGCTTTGTACATGGGAGTGGGATCGAGGTACGCCCCGCAGAATCAAGCCCACCACGCTAGTCGGCGCTAGGAATAGTCGCCCGCAGGAGCTGCTCGAACTTTGAGTGAAGTGCCCGCGGAGGCAGAAAAGCGGTTCAAGGATACCTGCTTCCGGCTACATTTCTATGAGAAGCATATCCACGTGCACAGCCCGCATGCAGGTCGTCCTTCGTAACTCGATATGCGCAAAGTCTATGCACACCACCTGTCCGGCACAGCGCGCCGTTGTCGAGAAGCCCGTCCGCCGTTGCTTCTCGTTGGACCGTTGCCCACCCGTCTCCACTCCGAATCGCCCAACTTTCAAGTCGTCTCTGGTCATGGAATAGACGTAAAGCGTTTGATGATGCTAGTGGCTCGCGGGACGATTGGTGGCATCCGTTGTTGGGTGATACCAGGAGGCGTCGCAAAGTAGCATCCCGAGGTCGCTTCACGGGATCCGTGAACGCCTTCGAGAGCGGGGTGCCACTGCGATTTCATTTAGGAAGGTATCCGATAGCACGCCTGAGGAATACCGGCCGTTCTTTGCTTATTCGCTCATTTCCTCTCCGGTCTCTACAGTCTGTGGCTGCTTACCTGCAACAGGGTTCTCCAGATCCGCCGCACGGGTGTGGCTAGCAAAACGGTAAGGTGATGACAAAGGGAGAGGCGCCACCAGTATCTCTAATTATCCCAATTTCCTGGATAAACACACTTGGGGAGTGAGCGTGATCCTTCAGTTGCCTTTGATGTTCCGAGAGCTGACCTATGGGCGACAAGACAGGCATGCAATATGTACGAGGCACACCAACTTTCGGGCACGTCCTGTTCATTGGTGACCTTCGAATCGTTACCATTCCTTCGTCTACGCGAACGAATCAACATGCTCATACATATGCTCGAGGATGTTCTCGGCCCAGCACAAGGGTTGACCGTTGAAGCGGCACACGTCTGCTACGCCCGGATACTTACCAAAACGTCTGTGATGGACATCAACATGCCCAGAGTCGCGTAAGCGATATACTGTAGATTGCCGCCTGTTGGACAAAGAATAAAGAGACGATCAGGTGTCGGCGCGCAATGGCTTCGCCGACAAACCACAGCCATCACAAGGACAAGTTGATTCGATGTACATAATCGTGTATCGCTCGTACTGTTTGTGGAGATCAACAGGGTATATCGGGCACCAAACATTACCCCAGATCGATGGAACGATGAGAGCTCTTGGCTGAAGAAGCGTCCACTAGTGCCATTCACATGCATTTCGCACCCTGTCCCTTCCCCATGTAAGTGATAGCCAGCGTTCACTGGGATGAATATGCAGGGCTTGACCGCCAAGACGGGCTTCAAAGCGAGCTTGAGTGAGCTTGACCCCCAGGTTTTGGCGTCTCTACCAGGCGATCTATATCCGGGGTCAACTGTTGTACTGCCTGAACTAGCGACATATCCGGTAGTCTACATCGGATCGATAGTTGTCTAGAGCTTAAGCGCAGCTGTCTTTGTGGAAATTCTGCAATAGCGTGGGCTGATCGATGACAGGTCACACGGTCGCATGCCAACAGTACATGCGGACATACACATTCTCGCTAGCCGTTGGCACATACCAACGGCCCATGAAGAATGGTACCAATCCTTCCAGAAGTGTCAAGTGCGGAGTAGTCACCTGGTCAGGCCTAGTGTAAGAAATTGCAATGCTACCATAGAAAGCCACACACGCACCACACTGCAGCATCACCGCTGTTCAGGATGCGATATTAAAAACTGGGGTATCCCACTGTCGATTGCGCCCGCAGCCTTCTCCAACTTCTGCTTCCTCAACGCTGCGCAAAGCGCCTTTCATCATAATTACCTCTTGTTCCAGCAATCTTGGAATAATTAGCGACAATGCCAGGAGGTGGTGTTACCCTCACTGGGACGCATGACCTCAACCGGGTCGAGGCTCCTGTCACCGTTCGAGCCTATCTGATCGTCGCATTCGCTGCGTTCGGAGGAATATTCTTTGGATATGACACTGGCTGGATGGGTGGAGTCCTCAACATGGACTACTTCATAAAGCAATACACTGGAGCTGAATACCCCGACGTCGTATATCCGGGCCTTGACTCCACCAGCCAGACCATCAAAGACTATCGCAACTCTACATTCGTGGTCGTACCATGGCAGCAATCGCTCGTCACATCCATCCTCTCTGCCGGGTATGTGAGAAAAGACCAATAGTGTTACCAGTGAATACTAACAGAACACAGTACCTTCTTCGGCGCCATCATGGCTGGTGATATTGCTGACTTTATCGGACGTCGTTTCACAATCATCATGGGATGTGGTATCTTCATTGTCGGAGGTATCCTTGAGACAGCCTCTACCGGGCTTGGTGTCATGGTTGCTGGTCGACTTATCGCCGGTTTCGGTGTGGGTTTCATCTCATCCATTGTCATTCTCTATATGTCTGAGATCGCACCCAAGAAGGTCCGCGGTGCTGTAGTCGCTGGTAAGTACTATCCACATGGCCTGCATGTATACACCCTGACTTTGATAGGCTACCAGTTCTGCATTACCATCGGTATCTTACTCGCCAACTGCGTTGTATATGCCACTCAGAACAGACGCGATACTGGCTCCTATCGAATTCCAATCGCTGTACAGTTCCTGTGGGCTATCATTCTCGCCATCGGTCTCGCTCTCCTCCCTGAGTCCCCTCGTTACTGGGTCAAGAAGGGCAAGCTCGATAAGGCTGCCGCCGCACTTGGCCGTGTCCGTGGCCAACCTCTTGACTCCGAATATATCCAGGATGAACTAGCTGAGATTCTTGCTAATCACGAATACGAAATGTCCGTTGTTCCCCAGGGTAGCTATCTCGGCTCATGGATGGCTTGCTTCAAGGGAAAGCTCTCTCAGCCCTCGTCCAACGCCCGTCGCACTACGATTGGCATCTTCATGCAGGCCATGCAGCAGCTGACTGGCATCAACTTCATCTTCTACTTCGGCCCGGTCTTCTTCCAGCAGCTCGGCTCCATCAGCAACCCTTTCCTCATCTCTCTCGTCACAACTCTTGTCAACGTGCTATCCACCCCGGCCTCGTTCGTTATGGTCGAGAAGATTGGCAGACGCCCTCTCCTTGTTTTTGGAGCTGCTGGCATGGTTATCATGCAGTTCATCGTCGGAGCTATCGGAGCCACCGCTGGCAGAAACACTGCCGACCATCCTGCCAACCCGAATGCTACCAGAGCCATGATCGCATTCATCTGCTTGAACATCTCCGTCTTTGCTACCACCTGGGGACCGTGCGCCTGGATTGTGATCGGCGAAATCTTTCCTTTGACTATTCGATCTCGTGGCGTCGGTCTGTCCACGGCTAGCAACTGGTTCTGGAACTGCATCATCGGTATCATCACGCCTTACCTTGTTGCTGACCGCGATGACTCCGCTCGTATGGGATCAAATGTCTTCTTCCTGTGGGGCTCGCTCTGCTGCGTTTCATGTAAGTTTCTCATATTCTTTGCAGTCCTATGGAGCCTTTTGCTAATTCATAAACAGTCCTTTTCGCCTACTTCTTTGTTCCCGAAACCAAGGGTCTTACGCTTGAGCAAGTCGACAAGATGTTGGAGGAGAGCACTCCTCGCACCTCCCGCAATTGGAAGCCCCACAGCACCTTCGCTGGCGACATGAACCTCGCTGACAAGCATATCGAGATTCCCCTCGAGAACCTTACTACTAAGCACGAGACCTCTACAGTCTAGTCATCTGGTAGGAACGATGTGTAAGAAGGATACTCAATGTATGGAACTGCCGATGTCACTAGATGTTACTGCAATGCATAGACCTGCTAGCTCGCACCCGATGCTGTGGAGTTATATATTTAGTGGAATAGCATACCTGAACCTCTGTCACTGGGTTTCAATCCGCGTTCCACATTGTGATCGCTGGAAAGCGTACGCGAGACTCAATCCAGAGTGCACGTTATGGCAGCTGCTTCACCACCTGAGATCTCCAGCTATATGCGTGCTTCCAGCAGTCTGGGAATTTGACTCAAACCACAAGCTGTGACTACGATGTGACGTATCAAGCGTCCGTTTGCGCAATGTCCAAGAACCCATTGTCGCATTCTGTTCTCCTCGGCTCTAGATAGGGACCCCAGTGTTCGCTATGTAGCAC